GCCTATGACTTAGCCCTGCTCTGCAAGGAGCAGTAAAAAATAATAAATAATAATAATAATAAATAAATAAGTGGTTGAATTGTATAGTATGTGATTTATATCTCAATTAAGTGTTAAAAAATGGAATGAGGCACTGACTCTCAGGTGCCAACCCTGCACTTCACAAACCTAAGCAAAAAGGCTTCCTCACATTTTGCACCTTGAGTTCTTTGCCTTGCTTCACTATATTCCTGGGTATGTTCTGCATCTATCTCCCCTTTCACAAAGACAACTTTTTATTTGTTGTTCTTGTTGGATCCCCTTGCCTCAGAGGAGGTTTTTATGTAACAGGGCTAAAAGTAGAAAATTGCTTGCGAGATACTTCCTTTCTGGGCTCTCTCTTTTTTTTAATAGAGTTCACTAGCGTTTATGACAAATATGTTTGTGAGCAACAAGAAAATACTTCTCTTTTCAGAGCAGTCACAGAGCCGAATGATAGATTTTTGTCAAGATTTAAAGTCTTAAAGTAGGCAGGTAATGAGAGAGAGAAGCCCTGAGCTCTGCCTGGTGGTAGCATTTCAAGGAATGGGCAAGATTTTAGAGGAGATGGCTATGTGGCAAACCTAGACGGAGGCTTTGGGGTTCCTAGCCTCAACCAAGTTTCCTGGTAATTGCTTACAAATGGTATGCAGGGAGAAAGCTGTCAGACTTCCAGTGTCAGTGACCACTACGGCTCTGGACAATGCAGATGCTTGCAGAAACCTTAATGAACTCGACCTACAGACCCTTCCTGTTTTCCAAGTACTAGATAAGGCCTGGGTGGGGAGGAAAATTCCAGATATTAATGAAAATTCAAATTTTTGCTGCCCTAACAGAATGAGAAATTCCAGTCTTTTAATAATATTTTTTTTTCTCTTTTTAGAGACAGGGTTCTGTTGCCCAGGCTGGAGTGCAGTGGCACAGTCAAGGCTCACTGCAGCCTGGAACTTCTGCCTTACCCTCCCAAGTAGCTACAACTACAGACCTGAGCCACCATGCCCAGCTAACTAAAAAAAAAAAAAAAAAAATTGTTGTTGTTTTGTAGAAACAGGGTCTTGCCTTGTTGCCCAGGCTGGTGTCAAACTCCTGGGCTAAAGGATCCTCCTACCTTGGCCTCCCAAAATGCTGGGATTAGAGGTATGAGCCACCATGCTTGGCTAGATTTTTTGTTAATAATAAAGAAATGTGTATTTCTTATACAGTGGAGGTTTTTCTTTTAAACTTTTTTATTTTGGAATAATTTCACGGCTGAGTGTGGTGACTCATACCTGTAATCCCAGCACTTTGGGAGGCCGAGGCAGGAGGATTGCTCGAGCCCAGGAACACAAGACCAGCCTGCGCAACATGGCAAGACCTTGTCTCTACAAATAATTAAAAAATTAGCCAGGTATGGTGGCGGGCAACTGTGGTCCCAGCTATGCAGGAGGCTGAGGAGGGAGGATCATTTGAGCTCAGGAGGTCAAGGCTGCAGCAAGCCATCATCATGCCACCTCACTCCAGCCTGGGCAACAGAACAGGACCCAGTCTCAAAAAGAAAAGGAAAGAAAAGAAAAAAATAATTTCAAAGTTACAAAAATAAAAATAGTGCAAATAATACATATACATTGTGTGTGTGTGTGTGTATATATATATATATTTTTTTTTTTTTTTAGAGAGAGATTTTGCTCTTGTCACCCAGGCTGGAGTGTAATGTGTGATCTTGGCTCACTGAAACCCCCACCTCCCAGGTTCAAGCATTTCTCCTGCCTCAGCCTCCCAAGTAGCTGGGATTACAGGTGCCTGCCACCATGCCTGGCTAATTTTTGTATTTTTAGTAGTGACAGGGTGGTCTTGAACTCCTGACCTCCGGTGATCCACCCACCTCAGCCTCCCAAAGTGCTGGGATTACAGGTGTGAGCCACTGCGCCCAGCTATTCATAAATTCTTTACCCAGATCCACCCACTGTTAACATTTTCCTCCATTTGCTTTGTCCTTTGCTATTCATTCAACTATGTAATATATATATTTGTATATAGACATATATAATAAATATTTGTATAGACATACACATGGTATTTTTAAAAATCATTGGAGGGTAAGTTATATATATTAGGATTCTAAGATATTAGGTCCATTATATGTAATATTGGTAACATACTATATTATATATATTTGTAGTAAATATAATACAGTCATATGCTGCATAAGGATGTTTCGGTCAAAGAACCGCATATACGATGGTGGTCCCATAACCTTATAATGGGGCTGAAATATTCCTATGACTGAGTGATATCTTGATGATCCTGACCCAGTGTAGGCCTAGGCTTATGTGTACGGCGCTTATAAAGTCTACAGTAGTGTACAGTAGTGTCCTAGGCCTTCCCATTCACTCACCATTCACGTACTGACTCACTCAGAGCTACTTTCAGTCCTGCAAGCTCCATTCATGGTAAGTGCACTATATAGGTGTGCCATTTTATATTTTTAAACCATAATTTTTATACCAAAAGTTGTACCTTTTCTATATTGAGATATGTTTAGATATCCAAATGCTTACAACTGTGTTACAGTCCCCTACAGTATTCAGTACAGCAGCATACTGTACAGGTTTGTAGCCTGGGAGCAATAGGCTATACCATGTAGCCTAGGTGTGTAGTGGGCTATGCCATCTAGGTTTATATACTCTATGATGTTAAGATGACAGAATCACCTAATGATGCATTTCTCAGAACATATCCCTGCCATTAAGTGATGTATGTCTGCATATGGGGACCAAGAAGACTATTCTTTTTCATAACCACAGCTAATGTTGCCAGGCTTAGCAAATAAAAATGCAGGATGCCGTGGGCAAATTCCAACAGAAATGAAAGCTCTGAGCTTTCCCAGACTGGGGGAACTACTATACTTCCTCTGCTGAACATACTTAGACACTGTTGTTGGATTTGATGAGTTGGAGGATGCTTACCCTCCAACGTCCGAACAATAAACCTAATCCGCTGGGCAAGATTTCTGGTAAGTAGTTAACGCCTGCTGTGATCTTGCTGATAAAAGTGAAGGTTAGTTGGCTCTTTTTTTCCATCTCTTGAAAGCTCTGTTGATTTGGTAATGTTTCTCAGAAATGAATGAATAAGAATTGTCTTATAAAAAAACACTGTTTAACAAATTTAAATATAAATCATCACTGGATCTTGTTAAAATGTAGATTCTGATGCAGCAGAACTGGAGTGGAGTCTGAAATTTTGTATTTCTTAAAAAGCTTCCAGAGGACATCAGCACAGTGGTCCTCCTAATCACACTTTGAGTTGTGAGATTATGGCCACCTCTGTGACAGTCAATAGATATTTCAAATATGCAGGTACCTGGGCCCTATGCCAATGTATTGATTCAGAATCTCTGGAGGCAGTGTCCAGGAATATGAATTTAAACAAACCCCTAGGGAGATATGAAAACCACTAGTCTATGGGTTTGAAATATCCTCTATCTTATTCTCAACATGTTTATTTTGTTTCTGAAAGCCTAGTGCAGGTCCCTCCTGCTTGATGCTTTTTTCATTGACCATCTCAGATGTAAATTCATTAACAGTTGTTGGCAGCATTTGCTATTTATCATGGGCTTTCTTTTCTCACATATATCCTGTCTCCTTAGATGTTATTTCTCGAAATGAACAATTATATAGATTCTTGTAGCCTCAGCTCCTACCATAATGTTTAGCAGAGAGTAAATGTATCATGGACAATAATGGTGATGGTAATGGAAGATGAATTTCTCTCCAGGACACGTGACTGTTTCCCAGGCCTTGTGTAATTAAAAGAACAAGAGTCCTGCTGACTCCACAAAAGAAACAATCACGTAGCAAAAACTGCAACTCCCGACTATGGCATGTTTTTCAGAAACTGGAACCACAATCCTTTTGTACCTTGGTAGTTTAAATGGCACTTTAAAGGAAATAAAGTAATACTTTGAACTTATTATGTCTTTTATCTGTGAAACGCAGACTAATGCCATTTATTAAGTTACTGTACAGCCATGATGTAAATATTATCATACCCTCCTCACAAAAAAGCTGACTAGGGAAAGAGTTGTAATATACTTGGTCAAAATCATAGCCATTCTAAGAAGGCCAGACCAAGAAATGAGGAGTAGCTAGGTGGCTGACAGGTCAGCACTTCTCAGCGTTTCCCAGACCTCAAGTTAGGTGAGCATTCCATAGGAGAGGCGGCTAAGAAGTAACGGAAGACTATTTCAATTTGAGTGAACCAATTTCCTCTTCCTCAGTATTCCCATTACCATTGCTCTTGGTATCTTGTGATGCTTATACATTCTTATATCAAGGTTAAATGTCGACCCATCTTCCCTCAACAACTTCCTCATCTATTTTACAATAATCTTGTTCGCCCTACCTCCTAGTTTACTGTAGCAGCAGAGCTATTAGGTTGGTACAAAAGTCATTGCCGTTTTTGCCATTACTTTTAAAGCTATTATTTTTAATGGCAAAAATCGCAGTTATTTTTGCACCGACCTAATAAAATAACTGCCAGCCGAGGGAATCTGAAATGAGACTCGAACCCTAGTTTGACCGCTCACGAACTCGGCCTCTTAGGAGAGGACTGTCTCAGGGAGTCAGTTTCTTCTTTGTGTGTGAAACGGGAAAGGACGACGCCCCCCTACCTTACTGAGGGATTGAAGCGATAGAATGAGACTCGTAAACTGCACAGCACTAAACGAATACCACTTTGCCCCCTTACTATGTCATTCCTTGTTTAATTTAATGCCAGGGCCACATACCGCAGCATAACTAATAGGGATAGGGCGTCCGTAGGGAACTACCTCGAAGCAGATCTTTTTCTTTTGAGGAAAGGGAGGGCTCGGAGCTGCTGGGAGTCGTAGTCTCGGCGGCGGTCTCCGCTGAGCTCAAAGGAAAGAACTACAATTCCCGTGAAGCAGTGCGCGGACAGCTCGCACAGCCCCTCCCCCCACAACCGGCGCGTGCCCCCAAGAGAAATTGGGGGTCTGCGCGCGCGCTGGGATCTGCAGGGCAAGCGCGAAGGCAGCTTCCTAGTGGTAGCCGTGAGAGCAGATCGAGGAAAGGAGACCCATGGCAAATTAAAAAATAAAAATAACCGTGCACTACTGCCTCACCACCCGAACGGGCTGTAAACCCATGCTACTTCGGAGTCGTGGGGAGCGCGCTCCCGGACTCCAGTCTAGGGCTTCGCGGACTTAAATTAGCAGAGGCGGGAAGGGGCGGGGCCTAAGGCGCGGGGCGGGGCCGTAGGCGGTGCGGGCGGCGGCGGTGGCGGGGCCAGGACCCAGACATCTGGGACTGTTGTTGTTCTCTCGCGGCGCGACCGCCTCAGTCACTTCGCCCAGAGACCCCGACCTGGTCCGCTGGGGAGCAGGCGGCCATAAGCCGCCTCTCTCCCGGTTCCCTGACGCCGCAGCAGGAGCTGTTACAAACACCCTGCGATTGGTCTCCAATGCCCTTCAGTGAGGTGGGGACGCCCGGACCCTGGTGAGCGAACCCCAGGCCACCCCCCACCCCAACTCAGTGTCTTCGCCGGCCCCCGGCACGTACACCTGTCTGGTCGCCATGGCTGAAAACACAGAGGGGGATCTGAACTCCAACCTGCTCCACGCCCCCTACCACACCGGGGATCCTCAGCTGGACACGGCCATCGGGCAGTGGCTCCGCTGGGATAAGGTGGGTACCTGGTCAGCCTAGCATCCGCCGTCGCCTCCCCCACATAGTCTGCTCTTTCCTATGCCCACCCAGCGCCCCACGGGCTGCAGAGGAGATGGCTCGGGACACCGGGCGGGGGGCAGCGGAGCAGGGCGTTGCCACCCACCTATGCATGGGGTTCCTCCTTCGGTCCGCCAGAGCCGAACATCTGCATCGCTTCCTTCTGCGGTGCTCTCAATTGTACCTCCCTTCCTCTTCTTTACCCTCTTTCCCTTCAAGTGCTGTCTTCCCTCTTTCTTCCAAAAAAAAAAAAAGAAAGAAAACATTGTAAGTTATACCCTAAACAACGATTTCCTTTCCCTTTTTCTCCCTTGACTTCCTTCTCCACAAACCTGAAAGTGGTTTCTGGCACCCTTACTGGGCGTTTCTAACCGCTATCTGCTTTAGTTCTGGTCTGGTGTGTTTCCTCCTTCTGTCGCTAGGTAGTCGCTGGTCTTCTATCCTTGGTATTTTCTAGTATCACCTTTTGCTCTTGGGAATGGCAAGGCGCTTACCTCTTCTTTCTCCTGCTGGCAGCTATTTTCTGGAATTAATCTGTTCAAGGAATCGTGTTTTCCAGGTTTCATATGGTACTCTTAATACAGGATTGTTTTTGCCTTAACCCTTACTTCTCTACCAACACCTCCCCACCCACGCTCCGCCCCCACCTCCAAATTGTTGCGGTAATTAAACCTTATGCGGGCATTTGGGATGGATTTGTGACAATCAGAATTAAAATGCAGCTATCTTACTTGTAAAAGAGGTCCCTGGTGGCTCCAACAAAGGAAGATAATCCAAGCTTTTGCTTTGTCAAGTGCATAAAAATACCTTTGTTGAAGTAGAGAAGGCAGCACATTTAAAATGGAATTAATGACAGTGAATTAAGGAATTTGTATGGTATTATGTGACATCATGTTGTACAAATGAATTTCCTTAAGGCTTCTCTTTCTGAAAGTTTTGTTTTTACTTTGTTCATTCATTCATTCAGCAAAAAAATATTGAATGTCGAGTGTGTGTTTTAGGTCTTGTTAGACCCAGGAAATACTTGTGAGGAAAATAGAAAGGGTTCCTGCCCTCAACAAGCCTCAGCAGATGAGGAAGACCAACAAATTAGCAGTTACAATGAGGTATTTGGTGTTAATTGGTCATATGTATATTGGACGAATAATTCTTTCTCTACAGTCTAATGCTTCTCAAACCTTAATGTGCTTACAGATCACCTGGGGATCTTTAATACAGATTCTGATGCAGGAGGCGTGGGGTGGGGCCTCGGATTCTGCCTAAGAATGAATTTCCAGGTGATACTAATGCTGCTGGTCTGTGGACCACACTTGGAGTAGCAAAACTTTGTTTTCTTTAGGTGCCAGTTTTAACTATACTTTTCCTAATGAGTCTCCTGATTTTTTTTTTTTTTTTTTTAAACAGGGTCTCTCCATGTTGTCCAGGCTGGAGTGCAGTAGCACAATCGTAGCTCACTGCACCCACTGCAGCCTTGAACTCCTGGGCTCAAGTGATCTTTTTGCCTTAGCCTGCTGAGTAGCTGGGACTATAGGCACATGCCACCATGCCCAGCTAATTAAAAAAATAAATTTTTTTTTTTTTAAAGAAATGGGGTCGCACTGTGTTGCCCAGGCTTGTCTTGAACTCTGGGCCTCAAGGGATTCTCCCACCTCAGCCTCTCAAAGTGTTGGGATTATAGGTGTGAACCACCTCACCCAGCCCCTGAAAAAGAATGAAGAGAGGTTGGGCACAGTGGCTCACACTTGTAATGCACTCTGGGAGGCCAAGGCGGGCAGATCATCTGAGGTCAGGAGTTCAAGACCAGCCTGACCAACATAGTGAAACCCTGTCTCTACTAAAAAAAAAAAAAAAAATTACCCAGGCGAAGTGGCACATGCCTGTAGTCCCAGCTACTCGAAGGCTGAGGCCAGAGAATCACTTGAACCCGGGAAGCGGAGGTTGCAGTGAGCTGAGATTGTTCCACTGTACTCTAGCCTGGGTGACAGAGTGAGATTCCATCTCAAAAATAAATAAAGCAAAACAACATAAAATAAAAATAATGAAGATAAAAATTCATCAAAAGTGGAAGATAAATTCTTAATTTGTATTTAAAGTGCCTCTGAATATAAGGCATTGGCTGAAACCTGTGAGAGACAGAAAGATGAAATAGATATGGATCGTATTGTTAAAGAACATAGAAGGGAAGGAAAAGCATAAATAATAGAGGCAAGTAATAAGTATCCTTAACAGAGGAATAGATTTAAGTAATTTGTTAATAAATATAATAAATTTCTTCATTGATCCTTTCTTAATAGGAGAGAATATATTTAATGGAGAAATCATATCTACTGTAGATTGATACTATAGAGAAGCTAGACTATGTCTCAGGGCACTGAAATCTAGAGTGCAGAAATGTAAAGATCAGACTCAGCATTTCTTACATTATACATTGATGACATGGGTAGTCTTTTAACATAGAGAGACTGAGTTTAACACCTGATGAATACCTATTTAATTAAAAAAGGAACCAACTGCCACCAATTATTCATGACTCAGATGAGGCATATAATCAGTTATAAATTGATTAGAGGTCAATGTGTTACTTGCGTTGGTCACTAAAATTACTAATCTTAGTCTCGGTTGGTGTATTTGAAAAGTCTTTATGAAAAAAATGTTATTTGTGCTTGAACTTTCAGAATTAGTTAAAATTAGACTTGCTAACATAAGGAGAACTATGACAAGCATAGAGATAAATTTTAATGTGTGTATTAAGAACTTTTATTTCTGCTGTTGCTCAGGGTACATAGAAAATTTTGGAAGGATATGTAAAGACCAGGTCATAGAAGGGCTTTAGTATGTTTTGAAGGGCTTAAATACACACAGGTGTGCATGTAAATGTTAAAAAGAAAACAATGCAACAAGATGGGCTGTTTATTGGGGCAGTTTGGGGTACTCCACGTAGTTTCTATGGGGTGGCTTTCTGTTGGTAAATTTACAAGTCCAGAATGTGACCTTCCAGTTCCTGAGCCTTCAGCCTAATTTGTTAGCCTACCTTGTCTCAGGATGGACTCACTGTGCTCAGTGTCACAGAAACTGATGTCTGAATTCAGAATGTTTTATTAATGTATGGTACAGATGTAATAGCTAAGTAGATTTGTTTCTATTCAGGGCATTTTCTAGATGCACCATAGCAGAAGTCAAAAGAAGATTTTTAGTGGTCATGAAATCAAATCACAGGGAGTCAGATATATGACACAAACATTTAACAGCATCAACCTGTAATAAGTAAATGCACACATCTCCACAATGGGACTATCTTACCACTAGAACCCAAAAGTCCTAGATCAAGGCATTTCTCCTCCAGGCAGTGAACAGATGACTCTACTACAGTGGTCTCTCCTTCTATGCTCTAGGGCTAAGTCACTCACCTCCTTCCTAGTTCTTTTTTTCAGTACTTTCATACATTCTGTCAAATTATAGATAAGTCGTGCTGGCCCAGAAGCCAGGTTCTCTCAATATAATATGTCCTGTTCTTTATGCATTGTTAATTTTCTTTTTAAAAGCAGTCCTATATGTAAGATGTTAGGCACTGGCAAAGTGGATGGATCAGTGGCTGGATGGGGAATAGAGCTGGGACATAGGGCAGAGCTGCTCAGCCTGCTATAGCAGCTGCTACAAAGGTGTTGAACTTCCTATGTATTGACAGCGATGTGGAGGCAGGAATTGGCCATGGCATTTTAAGAAATAGCAAGTAGAGCACTCTGGTTTCAGAATGTAGGTCTGTGTTGAGAAAGAGTATCATGTAAAGTTCAAGGTAGCACAGGCTTATAAAAAGCCTGAAAATGGAAATAAAATACTTCAATCTAGGCCAGTGATTCAAACATTAGTCTAATGGTAGAAGTTTTTTTCAGTGTCACTCGCATGATTTTCTGTGCCTCGTAATGTAGCCCAGGTAGAAAAGGTGATGAGTGAATTTCCTTTTAAATCATCCTTATGTGATGGGAAATACACCCATGACATTCCTCGACAAAGGTGGTCTACTCCAGGGTCATTGTATGGAGACCCAAAGAAATTGTGGACATTATCCAGTTACGGAGCTTAGATGGGCGCTTGGATCTGCCACCTAGTTCAATCCAATTTTTATAATACTAGTTTATATAACATTTTTTGTTCACATTTTTCTAATACTGAATTTGGCATTTAATCAATGAAGAGTGCAGAACATATACATATGGCTTTATTACTTTTGGGAAATGCTAGTCCTTATTCCTTGAATTTATTTCTGTAGTGTTTCAACTTTGGTAAAATGCTCTAAGTCTCGTTTGCTATTCATAGCAACAGTGTGTTAGGCAGGTAGTAGTTATCCCCATTTTTACAAGTAAAGAAACTTAAGCTCATAAAAGAAAAGTGACTTGCTCAAGGAGATATGGCTTTTAAGTGGTAAAATTGGGACTCAAACTTAGGTCATCTGACTTTTACTGTATTCTTATCACTGTGGTAGACTCCATAAAGCAAATGTTTAATACATGTTAGTGACAACATAAGCTAAGTTTCAAGGCCCTCATTAAAACCATTTTATTGGCTTTTATAAAGCTGGAGGAGGATGTAATATTATGCAGAATAAATTGCCATGGATTTTTTTTTAAAGAGCTGAACAGTTGCTTTGGTCTCCTTGGCAACAGTGTTCTCCTTCTGTCCAAGAAATTTAGTACATATAAATGAATATTTGAATTTTTATTTTTAGAATTCAAATTCATTTTTTCTTTTTACTTCCAAATTTCCTACATTTTCTCCTGTTTTCATCATTTTATTTGCAATTTATTTTTTTTTGAAGAAATACATGCTTATGATTTTAAAAAATAGTACAGAAGGGAAAACAATGGAAAACAATGATCCTAACTGCCTCTTCTTTTCCTCAGTTTGCTTATAGGTCATTTTAAGTTTCTTTTTAGTTATTTTTGTGGTTACCATGAAAAGACCAAGTAATAGACTAGAACCGCTATTTCTTGATGTATTTTAAAGCTTTAGATATTATCTGTCAGATATATCCCTGTGCTGTGAAAAATGGGAATTCACTCACTATTCTCTATGTCTCCTGAATTTTGATAGTTATGCTATTAGCATTAGTCATTTCGAAAGTTTAAACAATATAATTAATGCTAGCAAAGTTTACAGGACAATAAGTGCAACTAACAAACAGAGCTTCCAATTGGCCATTTTGTTTAAGGAGAGACTGGCAGAAAACATACTCTATATATGAAAACAGAGAAAACCCATACCAGCTTATATAAGGTACCTAGCGTAGTCAAATACACAGAAACAGAAAACAGAATGTTGGGTACCAGCGGCTAAAAATCTATTGATGTTAAAGCTAACTAACGATCAAACCATAAAAAGGAAATAAGCTACATGCAAAATAAGTAAAGCAACGGATACAGGAAAAAAACTGAGTTAAGTCAGGGAACACAAGAACTTAATGTTTTTTGATTAAATAAGACAATTATTCCATCAAATAAGGAAATATGCTATGAAAAAGGAACAGGAAACAATAATGAGCTCTTGGAAATTAAGAAAAAAACATTGACACACCACCCCTGCCAAATGCAATAAAAAATACAGAAGTTAAAGTTGAGGAAACATAGCAAAAGGAAATAGGAAATATGAGGAAGTTGACATGGAGTAACTTCCCCAGAAATCCAATGTAAAGAAATCCTAGATGATAACAGTGTAGTGATCCACACTGGGGTTCCAGAAATATGTCTTAAAAAAGAATTCAGCATCTATGCCATAAATAGTAAAAAGCTGGAAGATGTTAGTAATATGGTGAAGATGGCATGTTATTTCTGGTCAACAACATTAGAAAAAAAAAGAAGAAAAGAAAAAGCAGTTACCCAAGGAGGGGAAGGAGGGAGGGAGGAGGAAGACAGGAAGAAAGTAGGAAGGGAGGGAGGGAAGGAAAGAATGAAGGACCCGAATAAGCAAGGAAAGACAAAGCTGAGTAAGTTAAGTTGTGGTCTAAAAATGAAGCCAACTAAAATGGTGCATCATTTTGAACAACTAATTGATGGATGTTAAGGAAAGAAAAACAGATCTCCAGAGCTTTTTCATCATGCTAAACTGAATTTCT